TAAGATTCTACTCGCTGCTTCCTCGTAACCCACTGAATGGGACGATTATTGAGAAAGTGAAGGGTGGCTATGTCCAGGTGTCTTGTTTGAGCACTCTGTGATTGCAGTGGCAGCTGCTTTTATCGGGGCATTAGAGCAGGCGGAGACTAAGAGAAAGATCACCAGTTTGGTTTGTGGATGCTGAGTTTGATGTTCATAGGAGCTATCCAAGAGAAGTGACAATTAGGCAGATGACCAAAAGGCTCAAGAAACAGAGATGTCTATGAGGAGTTTGGGGAGCCTTTGGCACATTGGTAGGAGCTGAGAACCTAGAAGTTGATGTGATAATTTGGCAAGAGTGTAGGGTGAGAAAGGAAAGGGGTTGAGGAAAGGTCTATTAAAAATGAAAAATTTATCAGCAGTGCAGATGTAAAAGAAACAGCAAAATAAACTGTGAAGGTCTGCTCATAGAAGTAGGTAGAAAACAAGGAAAATGGGAGTCAGAGGATAAGAAGGTAAAGGGTGTGGTTATGATACTAGTGCTTCTTAGATACTCAGTAAAACACACAATCCTAAAAAGCACCCACTCAATTTGGGATGTAAATGCCAGTAGTAACTTTTCGGGAAGACATTTCAACAGAGTGATGGGACAAGAAGCCAAACTGAAGTGGTCTGAGAAGCGGGTTAATAATGAAGGACTGGAGACAGCTTCTGCAGACAAAGGGGAAGCTATCCTGCCCCCTAGGGGACAAGTGGGGACTTTATTTTTTAAATAAATGAATGAATATAACTTGAGTAAATGAATGGTAACGAATTTTTGGCGTGTACCGAGAAGGAAAGCTGTGAATCTCCTTGTGAAAAAATACACAAAGCATTTAATGGGTTCCTAGGATTAATGGAGTCCACTCACATTCCCCCTAAAGTGGCCATAAATGCCAAACTAAGAATTCCTGAAAAATTATTAAACTCAAGAATTTAGAAAATAATATAAAATAAAATTAGGAGAAATGGGAAAATGATGACGAAGAAAATAAAATTTTTTTCAGTTAGAAAAAGTTTTTAAAGATAAATATTCAAAAATGATGTCTTTGAATGGGTCAATGTAATTTGAAACCCTCTAGCAAATCTGATCAAGAAAGAGAAATATAGGCAAACATTTAGAAATGAAATAGGATGAAAGAAGCAAAACTGTAGAGAAATTGCAGAGGCCAATGGGAGGACTCAAATGAAATAATAAATAATAGGAGTCAAAGTGTCCTGCAGGACTTAAACAATAAACCAAAAGATGAGGCCAGAGCATTTTTTTTATTTTAAACTTAGCACTGAACGTTAATGGACTTGCTGAATATAGCTGAGGTATTAGAAACTTCTAAAATATTCCAAATAAAGAGCATGCTAGTCAGGTGTTTGGCCATTTGTAGAAGCATAAAGGAAAGAACATTCCAGACACAAATGGCGGTGTTACCTATTCAAGCACTCCTGGAGATGTCCAGACCCACCTGTGTGCTTTCTTGTTCCTTCAGTGCTCTCTGGGGTTTCTATTCTCTGCTCTGTGGCTGAATGTGGTTTTATGCTCCTGAAGCTCCCAGGCTGGAACGCGGGAGGTGGATGAAGAAACCTCGGAAAAATCTTACAGGAATATGATGGTTGTGTTCTGAGATTTGAGGCTCCAAGGGACAGAACCAGGAAAAATAACAGTAATAATAAATATAATAGCAGCTAACGTTTACTGAGTGCTCAGCAAGTACCAACAACTGAGCTAGCTGACTCGTGGCAATGTGAAGATTTTGTTGGGCGATGTAGAAAAGACATAGCCCATATTCTGGCAATTGTTTCTCAGTGATCATTAGTTCATTTCTGCTTACGACCATAAGAGAGGGACTATTATGTTACGCATTGATGTTGTCATCTTGGATATGATCAAACTCAGTTTTGATATGGCTTAAAGATTCTTGAAGCAAATATCCCAGATCTCTTGACAGAGTTAAAAGTCAGAGAGGCAAAATGGGATTTTTCTCTCTTCATGTCTTACAGATATTAGCCTCAACATACATTGCATTTTCTGCTTTTTTCTTTTTTTTCTATTGAAGTATAGTTGATTTACAATGTTGTGATAATTTCTGGTATACAGCATAATATTTCAGTTATATATATATATATATACACATATATTTCCTTTTCATATTCTTTTTCACTATAGGCTATTACAAGATACTGAATATAATTCCCTGTGCTATACAGAAGGAACTTGCTGTCTATCTATTTTATATACAGTATTGTGTATCTGCAAATCCTGAACTCCCAATATATCCCTCCACCTCTACACCCTTTCCCTCTTGGTAACCACAAGTTTGTTTTCTATGTCTGTGAGTCTGTTTCTATTTTGTAAGTAAGTTCATTTGTCTCATTTTTTAGATTCTACATATAAGTGATATCATATGGTATTTTTCTTTCTCTTTCTGGCTTATGTCACTTAGAATGACAATCTCCAGGTCCATCCATGTTGCTGCAAATGGCATTATTTTATTCTTTTTTATGGCCGAGTAGTATTCCATTGTGTATATATACCACATCTTCTTTATCCAGTTATCTGTTGATGGACATTTAGGTTGCTTCCATGTCTTGGCTGTTGTAAACAGTGCTGCTATTTTACTCCTTCCTCAGGAAGAAGTATGTAGAGATAATTGATCTAGGGTTTTATATGTGACTTTATTTAGATTGTGCTTCTCTCCAGATAGTGGAAATCAGCAGCTGTTCAGGTGTTCACTGTGAATGTCTCTTGTTTTCTACCACCAAAGGCACAGTGTTTCCTGCAAATATGGCTTATCTTTGTGATTCCTTCTGTATCTGGCTTACTTGGCTTTTTGGAGCTTTTTTGACTCCAGGGAAGATCCACCTCTACACCATTCCCATGACTTCAAAAGGGACATTATGAATGTAGAACAGAATATAAATTTATAAACCTTGAAGATACAGAATTTAAATAAAGAACACAATTTAGTTGGGGATGTAGTATTACACACATTTGAGAAGTAGTCTTAAATATATGATTACTTCCTCTTTAGTAGTTAAGGCTTAAATGACATAATTTAACATTGAAAAATAAAGTATTAAAACTAACATTATACTTATCATTATACATATAAAATTGTCAAAATTGATAACATATTGATAATATTGATAATACCTGAAGCTGAGGTTATATACAGAGTACAGAAGAGTTCTGTATCATATTCAATTTTTATATATATATATATAAACATTTCCCTCCTAAAATGTTTTAAAAATAAGGTAGTAGGTAGTATTGGGAAGTCCAATTATTTCATTCATGTTTATAGTAAAAGATTAGTAGGTATTGTCTAAAGACAGAGAATATTAAATGTGTATGGTTCTGTATGGCTCACAGGATATAGTGGGCGGGAAAACAATAACAGGAGGGAAGTTTTAAAACGTGAATTATAGAAAACATACAGATGAGTGATAACTGATTTTGCAAAGCAAGGAGATATAGACCCTAATTGACTACAGAGGAACAAATAAACAAGAAGCCAAGAGAGGCTCACTCAGAAAGTGCCATTAATTTGAAGCATTTGGAACTTAGGAACGCAGAGTGTGTAGGAATCAAAACTGGAGATTTCATGAAAATCAATGGGAAGATAAATTAGATGCAAAATTCACTCCTTCCTACCACACAAGCAAATGTTTATTTCACTCTAAAATTGTCAGATTGCATTTTATACACATTTTAATTGGGATATAATGTTCATAGATAAAAGTACCCACATTATAAAGTGAAAAGTTCAATAATTATCA